TTGTACACCGCGCCAACTGTCAACGTATTCACAGGACAAATACAATTCTTTGATCAACTTTCCTGGCTTTTCATTACGACTGCATCTTTTTCGACGGCTCAGTCATTTGTTAAACATTGCTTAGAATGTAGTATCTGAAAATATTACCGCGCCGGTAATACATCTGACTGCTACAAAAGAATGACACAAAAATGCCTGTGATGCAGGCAGTCGTTTGCAAGTCACGCAATCCAATTTAGCGGGGTGGAGAAGGGTGAAGTAGCAAACGGCCAGAACGAGAACAACAGCAATAATTAAGGCTGATCACTATACTGGATAGCTTTTCGTGCAGACACAAAAAGCTATCCGGTAAAGTATGAACACCTATCCGGTATGTGACTNTCTACCGTCTTTAAAACATCACAGTCTTCTTTTACAACTTCTAAATATCTGTTAAAATGATTTGGGGAGATAGTGCTCTGTTCTTTGTATACAATATAATTTAATTTCGAAGGCATACAATTTACTTCAGTAAAAGTAATGCGTGAAAAAACGTAATTTTCACCATGTGCGAAACCTTCAAATCGATTAAGCTGCTGGTGGCTGAATGTTAGAAGGATGGTCTACAGATTCGTGCAGAAATGTCTTTGGGCAAATGATTACTAGCGACGCGAGAGCTTTACAAAATCTGTTAAAAATGCAGATATTTGACCTTCCCTGGTCAACTTTGAAGTTGCGGGTCGGACAAAATTTCGTCCTGTCACTTGTCTAAACTCACAGTAGATTAAAATAAGCAGATAGGAAACCCGTTTGAAATGTTCTTACCTTAAAATCTGCTGTAAAAGACGAGTCCAAAGGCCATTTTAGTCCGATTATCGAGTCGTTTGATCTTTGTCTTGTAACGTGTAATTGTACACCGCGCCAACTGTCAACGTATTCACAGGACAAATACAATTCTTTGATCAACTTTCCTGGCTTTTCATTACGACTGCATCTTTTTCGACGGCTCAGTCATTTGTTAAACATTGCTTAGAATGTAGTATCTGAAAATATTACCGCGCCGGTAATACATCTGACTGCTACAAAAGAATGACACAAAAATGCCTGTGATGCAGGCAGTCGTTTGCAAGTCACGCAATCCAATTTAGCGGGGTGGAGAAGGGTGAAGTAGCAAACGGCCAGAACGAGAACAACAGCAATAATTAAGGCTGATCACTATACTGGATAGCTTTTCGTGCAGACACAAAAAGCTATCCGGTAAAGTATGAACACCTATCCGGTATGTGACTCTCCTGTTTAGAGATCGGCACTGCGCAGCTTTGCTTTTTCCTTGCGGGGGTGGGGGGAGGGGGGGGGGCGAGAGGTACTGCCTTATAAGAGGCTATTGGGGATGTGCCACTGGATGGGGTTGCATTTTTACGACTGGACTGACTTATGGGCTCGCATTTTCAATGGAGGTACTAGAATGGGGTCACACACTTTCGGATTTTTTTGGGGGGGAGACTGTTCGTCATATTTACGGTTAGCAAACGTTTCAAAATGTTTGTACAGCAGACGGAAAGTAAAGTGGTCTCATTCAATCTTAAAAATGGGTCAATTCATGAAAATAGAAAGTGAAAGTTTGGATGGCGAAAATTACATATTTGCCCAAAAGTGACTAAGATGGGGTCTATAATTGGCCACAAAATAGACTATAATGGGGTAGGGGCTCTGAGAGGCCAGCGGCACATACCCAGCAAAAATTAACCCAAGTATACTGTACTGTTACGGAACGTACCAGGTTGGCCTAAAACCCAAAGGGAAATGGTCTTATCGCCTAATGATGAAGAAGTAGCTTCTTCTAAAAAAACATACCCAGACCAAACTGGTCGAAATTGATACCCTTTCTTAGACCAAAAAAGATAAAAAAAAACCATACTCTTCGGCGCCGCACACATCTAAATAGCCGACATAAGGGATTACCCTCCCTCCCCCCTCTCCCGGGACGCAATCACTACATATTTGTGTAAAGTGTTTAATGGGACTTCGGTACTCTTGATTATAACAACCACTGTTTTAACGAATAAAAGGAAAATGTCTCGAAGAATCTGTACTGAAAACTTTCATAACCTTTTACAAAGCAAGAACTGATTACGCTTACAAAAATTCGTGTACAAAAGGTCGCAACTAGCAGCATATCCCTTTTGATTAGCGCCTGCAACAATGATTCTTGCTTCTTTTTCATTTTTGAAACCCTGTTCGCAAATGAGACACGCGATTTGTTAGTGAAACCAATAACGTTACTTTATAACGTTCGCGAAATAAGATGACCCAACGAAGGATAGCTGTCAAAATAAAAGGAACAGAGGATTTGGTCGCCTGACAAAAAGCTGTAGGCATCTTTCAAGTTTTGTTAATTACAAAATTTTCCAATTTTTTGCAAAGGCCAAACTCTTTTTTTTTTTCGCAGTGCGAACAGGTTTAGTTTTTTGTCGATGCTTATTATGATGTCGTAACTAACAACAGCGCTAGATTGTAGAGTGCCAGAGTGGTTACAGTAGAAACTAGACTTTAGCAAAGATGAAGCACGCAAGAAAGAAGAAAAAGGCCATTGGCACGATGACACCATTTTACTGCTACGACCAGAATCCTCAGGGTTTCGCTTTCAGTGTACAAATCAGGACTTTTGATCTTGCTGGGATTACTAAATTTAAAAAAAATACATGAAAAGAAAATACGAAAAGGATTCTGGTCGTAGTAGTAAAGTAACGCCATCGTGCAAATGCGTAGTATTCGTTGATAAATCGGCTTTAAAAAAACTCTTTAGTCGTGTATAAAGGGTTTCTAGGTGTACTACATGTACCTTCAAGCACCACCACTCCTCCCCCGTGAAAATGCACATGACAGTATTGCGTGACGAACAGCGTCCACATTATGGTGCCGTTGTAGCACCGGTCAGATATATACTTTCTTGCAGTGTAAGGCATTGTAAAACAAACGGCTAAGCCGTCGAAGAAGATGCAATCGTGATAAAATTCGCCTAAAACTGATCAAAGATTGGTATTCGACCTTTGAAGACGTCGAAAGTTGACGCGGTGTGTCGGGTGTGAGGTGTAAATTGCAGACGTTACAAACCAGAGGTCAAGCGACGAACGACCGGAAAATCGTGCTAAAATGATCTTTGGACCGGTTCTTTACTGCTGATAATAAGGTAAAAACATTTCGAAACGGCCTTCTATCTGCTTATTTTAACTTAATGTGGGTTTAGACAAGAGAAGGGACTAAATTTATGTCCGACTCGCAACTTCAAAGTTGACCACGGAAGGTCAAATACCTGGATTTTTAACAGATTTTGTAAAGCTCTCACGTCGCTAGTAATCATTTGCCCAAAGAAATTTTTACAGGAATCTGTAGACCATCCTTCTAACATTCAACCACCAGCAGCTTAATCGTTTTGAAGGTTTCGCACATGGTGAAAATTACGTTTTTTCACGCATTACTTTTACTGAAGTAAATTGTATGCCTTCGAAATTAAATTATATTGTATACAAAGAACAGAGCACTATCTCCCCAAATCATTTTAACAGATATTTAGAAGTTGTAAAAGAAGACTGTGATGTTTTAAAGACGGTAGAGTTATCGGTTTTTGCACGCGAGGCTTTCAAACTAATGTAATAATTGAGCGCCTCAAATGACGATTTTAACGGATTTTGCTTATTTGCATTTATCTCTGAAATAAAAGGATATTTCACCCAAAAAAACATACAGTGATTTTAGTTATACCCTAGCCTATCTAACATTAAAATATGAAAGAAATCGAATTTTCCACCCTTGCCGCGATATGTTTGATTTTTACGGACAGGCGCTCTTAAATATTTGAAACTTAAAATGATTAAACTGTCGGATGTAGGTTAAAAGGAAGGGACAATATGTGTAGACACTTGAATTTTAACTCCGTTAATTTTATGACTTGAGGTTGAACCAGCACTTCTGTCTCATTTCGCTCTGACATTTTTGTCATCCTTCGTTTGAAGTGGTCCTCAATGCAACTATAGCTCTACCCAACAACCCGACGTCATGTTTGTTTGCTCAAGAGACCTTTGTCCTAAGCACACGGTAAAATAGTGAACACAAAATAAATAAAGATTCGAATAGAAAATAAAATGTTCGAAAAATGTGTGTCTACAAACATATTGTTTATGTATAGTTAAGAAGTATTCCTGACCTCTAACTTAAAGGCTGACACATGTTTCACGCTAACATCTCTTCATACAATTCTATCACAGCACAATTACAATTACACTTATAAAACTACCCTTTAAATGCTGTAAGATAATTTGACCACGTTGGCGGACTTGTGTAAGGCTTTTGACCCTATCTGGTTTTACATTTTCATCGCCAAGTTTAAGGCATTTGCATTGCGAGCAAATGTAGCAAACCTTCTTCAAAGGCACCCGAGGGATCACAAGCAATACATTGCTGAGAATAGTTGCAAATCATCTTCGTTTAGAGTTACTTATTGTGCCCCTCCTGGAAGTATCCTAGGTTTTTGGTACTGTTTCTAGTATTTTTCTATGATCTTCCTAGGGCAATTAGAAGATCATAGAAAAATACTGGTCGACTGTCGATTTGGAAAGGATTGAACTACGGATATGGGTAAAAAGAGATACGAAAGCGACCCGACGTTTCGTTTAAAAAGGTCGTGTTCAACTGCTTACTGACATAAGATTTGTTCGGCTGATCAAAAGCTATTTTGGCGACCATCTTTTCCCTTATGAGTGGTCATTGGTCTTGGTGCGCAAATGAATGAGGTTTTTAACATTTTCGGAACTCTGGTAACGTCCATGGAAGGTAGCATGGCCAAGTGGCTGAGAAACCGGCCGACCACAAACGTTTACGCGATCTTTTTAAGTCTTTGAAGTCTGTACAATTTCATTTATATTTTGAAGGTAAAGTGTCACTGTCGTTTCAATTCAATCACAGAAAAATGTTCGTTGGAGTTTCAAAAGGCAGAAGAAGAAGTAACCAGGTGTCTGATTCCTTTAAGACTGGTAAGACTGGGATGGTCTTTCTGACAGTTTCAGATTTCTTCCGACAGCATCTATCTTTCCAGACAGCTCTTTTTGGAAATTCGTTGCAGTTGGTGGTAGGACCTTGATGTCACTTGTTCCGACCTTCACCGTCTCGCTGAATTCAGATGGGACAGCAACTGTTGCCATCTCTTTCCAGTTGATTGACTTTCCGCATCCAAATTGTGGTCTAGAACTTCTTTGAGATTTCACGGTCTTGCGGCTAACCTTGGTGATGGAAAGGCGGCCATCATCACGCCATCTAAACATGAAGGTGCCGAGTTCTGCGTATGCTGGGTCCCTGACGTCGTTGACATTGCTTGGTCGATTTCCGCAGGTTGTCGCTCCTTCACAGCCTTCCACCTTGGTCCAAATGATACCACAGTGTGGACATTTGCGTAATTCAGATACTCCATGCTCACTCTGGTATCCGAGACATTCCGTTCTGATATCGTAGAGAACCATGCGAAGTTGATTCACCATGTTAGCGATGTGACCAGCTTCATTGGCTGCACCATCACCTTCAAATGTAAAGTTGTTGGTCTTGGACATCCTCTTCTGGGCTTCAACAATTTCATCTGTCATGTAAGCCTGGAACTCAAAAACAAGGTCAACCAAATCCTTGCCACTGAAAGCTTTTCTTTCCTCATCAAAAGCCCTCTTTTTGTCTGAAAACCTCTTAACTTCATCGCTGGTGGACTTTAGAATCTTTCGATGATGGTTGTGGATTTTGAAAAGCTTAAAAAAGTTTGCATCATCCACTGTCAGGTTATGTCGCTCAGTGCAAGTCTTTAGTATGTCATTCTGTAGTGTCTCGCGGTTTGTGGTCATCGAAGAAAAAACAACCGAATCAATACCAAGGTCATGTTCAATCCGCGGGGCGAAGTCCTTCTCTGTCCAGTCTACTGTATCCATATGAGTGACAAGAACCCCAACCACGTCCATGGGGAGCTCCAGAAAACGATCTGCATACTTGCGAACATTGTCGACCACGGAATCAATTCGAGTCTCAGCTTTGACAACAATAAATATCCTTGAGACGGGCCTGTAATTGAGTGCGCCAGCAATCTCCACGTTGTGTTCCAATGTATCTTTCAAAGCGTTGCTGCCTGGTGTGTCGGCTACGATGAGTCTACCGTCAGGGGCCCAGAAAACTTCGGCGCTCCTCGTGAAACTCTCGTTCGCTTGTGAACTCTTGCCTCTCTGTTCTGTCAGTTTTTCTAATAAGGTGGACTTACCAGTTCCAACGTCACCCAGGAGAACAACATAGGGTGGGTTTAGGTAGTTCAATAGCTTCTGTACATACATTGGGAAATGACTTTCAATGCACCTGAAAGGTGAGAAAATTGAAACCCTTTACTGATATAAACTTACATTATTTTTTTAACAGTGGAAATGGCACTTGTGGCGATGGAATTTGCAATGGGAATAGAATTGACAGTGACAATGACAATGGCAATGTCATGGTAAAGTCAAAGTCAATCTTCAAGTCAAAGTTAAACTCAGTCCCTTATTAGCCTAATGATGATAATGGTGGTGATGAAAAATGACTTACAATGGTTCAGAACATTGCCATAATATTGGTGACACGCTTTCTGAACAAGCAAACTATCATGTCAGTTCTAGTTTTTGAAATAAGTACTCGCTGATAAAATTCTTGAATCCTTCAGTTTTTATCTCGCGCCGAGCATTAGGCCGAGGAACGACGTTGAAATTTTGATGAAGTCTGTGACTTTTCTGTAAAACTCACTTCCGCCGTATTTTCGCAGGCGCAAACTACAAAGAGAGCTACTACAGAGCTCTTCTCCTTTGCGCGTAGAGAAAAATCACAGGTTATGGTGTCAAGAATGACGTCTGCACCCTGCAGAATTCAGAAAACAAGCAGAAATGTCTTGGCAACAAGCTGAAAGTTGCCTTACAAAAGTTCTTTTTGCTCAGTATAAACTTTTAAGGTGATATTGCGGTCTACTGAAAATGAAGTGTCTTAGTGTAAGACATTTGTTAGCTGTTTTTGTTGTTCTTTTCGTGTGTTATCACGCGCAACTCAACCCTCGATGATAGGAGCTAGCAAAAGCTACCGATAGGAAATAATTGTTACTGGAAAAATCTAAAAGAATTCGCCGGTCGTTTCATTTCTCCTATTTGAAGCATGTCAAAATAGATGAAGGGCAATGAATTCAAGATGAACAACATTACAAGAAAAACTGTAAAAAATGCCTTGGGACAAATCTAAATTTTCGCGGACCCTATCGTAAACAATTAGACAGATTATGAGTCTCACAGTTAAGTAGAGTCAAATCAAACTGAGGGAGTTTTCCCAAGTAAACGATGTTTGTTTTGCTTTTCGTCGCATGACTTACAGGTTTGTAACGCTTTGTATGTCGTGCAGTCGGCCATTGGTTTGCCTTTGGGTATTAAAAAAGCCATTTAGCTGGTCAACGGCACATGGAAATGGCGGACCATGACTCTTCGGCGTCAAGCTCGAGTTGGAAGAAGCTGTACATATGTTGGTCTCCCATAGAGCTTTCCACAAGTTGCTCGGCAACTTTCTGGCAACCTTTCGTATTTCGAGCAACCTTTTTTCGTTTCGAGCAACTTTTTGCACTCTGAGCAGTTTCTAGTTTTCTTTCAGTTCTGAGATATCGGAGCAGTTTTTAGTGCTTAAATTGGCCTTACTTCCATATTTCACAATGTTTTATTAGACGATTTATGTATTTCCTGTGAAAAAGGAGCCAGATCCTCCCCCTGGGGCAGATCATGGACGCAAGATGCGTGCTGCCGGGCTGCTAGGTCAGCGTTTTTTAAAGAAAATTCGAAATAGTAGACGAAGATTTACACTCGACTGACTCGAGTGTCTCAGGTGAAGAAGGTCATTCAGATCTTTTGAGGGTAGCCGCAGAAGCAGGAGTAAGACTAAGTACTCCAGCGAAAGCGGCAATTTCAAGAGGACACAAAGTGCAAAAAGTCCAGCTGAAAAAAGGCGACATGTCCGCGGCACAGTCGATTCAAATGTGAATGCTTGGCATACATTAAATCAGTTCAAAGGAGAGCATCTTACTGTGGCGTCGGGTAAACTTGGATGTGAGGCATGCAAAGAAACCGAGTCCGAAAGTAAAAAAGCTCTGTTGTGAAGCACATTGCATCCCAGAAATGTATTAAATCAAAGACAGTTATTACGAAAAGCAGGAAGAAAGACCAGATTATTGTAGACCTGATGAAAAGAAACGACGAAGAAATGAATGTGTTTTTTTAGCAACTTTCGTTACAAAAAAGAAACTTTTGACTTTTTTTGAGCAACTTTTTCAGAAATTACGGGAAACTTTCCAGGAAACCTCGAGCAACTTGTGAAAAGCGCTAGTCTTCGGGGGGTTGTTTGGTTGAGTAATTAGCCACTTGTTGAAGAAGATAATAATAATAATAATGTTTATTTCTTATATTGCGCAGTCTAGCATGATAATGATAATAATAATAAAAAATTACCATTTTCGGAAAACAATAAAAGTAAAATATGAGTTAACAAAAGAACTAATAAAAAGCTAATTCAAAAAGATGTGTCTTTAGTAAAACTTTAAAAATGTTCAATGATTGACATTGTCTAATTTCTAGAGGGAGTCGGTTCCATACTTTGGGCGCAGCATTTTCAAAAACCCTATCCCCGAGTGTCTTTTTTGTTCTATAGGTATTGTCCATTAGGAGTATGCCCCGGTATGATCTCAACTGATACCGCGAGCTCTCTTTGATTTTTATCAAGTCTAAAAGATATTGTGTTCATACCTAGATATAGTACATACCAGCCGAGCTGCCGCGTTCTGCAGGCGTTGCAGCTTACCAAGATGAACAGCGGGCGTACCATATAATAGACCGTTACAATAGTCTAAACGTGACATTATAATAGCCTGTACAATGGACTTCCTATTGTCATATGATAAATACTTTCTAATCAGCCGGATGTTATGTAGATGGTAATAAATATCCTGACATATGCTGTTAATATGTGTGATCATATTCATGTTTGCATCAAACCAAGCACCCAGATCTCTCTTCATATTATAGATATGTGAAAACCAATGTTAAAATGTTGGAGCAACTTTTAAGCAACTATTAGATTTTTTGAGCAACTTTCTGGAGGATTGGGAGCAACTTTTTAAAAAAATTGGAGCAACTTGTGGACAATCCTAAGGATGACAGCCAGTTAGGTCACCGGTATACCTTATATTACATAATAACCACTGCTTAGTCTAAAACTATAACTAGTACAAGGCCATCAGAAAAGGAAGTTGGAATGAAGGGAACATTTCGTGTACTTTTCATCAAGGAATTTTGAGAGTATTGAATTCTTTCTTCATATTATAGATATTTTCTAGTCCTACTATTTCAAGTAAGGTGTAAACGTTCGGTTTCCCTCTTATGAGGAACAAACATTAACCGCATACGATGATTTTGTTTAGTCTACATTTATGTGTATAACGCCCCTGCTCAAGTTACCAGTGCTTGCAAGGGTCAATCGTAATTACAAATCCTTAGATTATAAATTATTTTCCTATAGATTATGATGGAAACTGTACGGGAAATAGGTTGAAAGTGAAAACCTTGACAAACGTTCGGAACAGGTTGTTAAAAAAGACACGCCGAAGTTCAATGAGTTAATTAACATGAATCGAATGGCCTGCATCGTCGTGTCGGGTTTTCAAGAATGCTTTAGTGCCTTGTTATCTGCAGCCGTAGATAACACCAGAGGATCGAATGTTGCAAACGGAAGTGGAGAACGTTTTGACTGCCAGGAGTAGCCGATAAACGTTATGTGGGTCTTCACCGACGGTAACTCCTTCAAAACGCTTAATAGCGGAGCTCTCACGGGCGAAGCGCGCCAGCGGAGCACCATGGGTAACAAAAGTTGGTAAACTATCCATCCGAGAAAATTTGGTTATGACGTAGCGTACGCTCACCCGTACACACACTTCATGTAAGGCGATGTCAAGTGTCACACTTGTCAGGAGCGAGAAATAAATAACAACGGAGACTAATTTCGTTGGAAGAAAAACATGAAAATTATATATCGGCGGTTAGAAAACAAGAAATGCCAGCGGCTACTAATGTGAACAAGGAGCGGCAGTGAAAAAACAGAGTGAACAGGAACACAAACATTTCCTCCATAAAACGCTTAAATAGGAAGCTAAAAGAAGTTTTAGTCGTGTAAAACAACGGTAAGGAAATGCACAAAAAAAAGCTGCTGTACGTGCAGAGTTGCTTTTTGCTAATTAGAAAAAAAAAGGGTGCTGCATGTGTAAAGTTGTTTTTTTGCTAATTAGATCTATTGTTGTTGTTTTTACCGTTCTCGTTGCTTTCAACTTGTCTTTAGTATTACTCAATTTTATATTTTCTTTGAGGAATCTATAAATATTAAAGAGAGCTTCACTTTTAGCCCTGGCTAAATCTATATATTATGGAAACAAACATTCAAAGCGAAGAAATTTAAAGGGAAAAAGTATATGAAATTATAGCGAAAGAAATGTCAGATATGGATGTGTGAAAAACAATGACAGTGACATTGTTGATTTTTTTTAGCCCTGTAATAATTTGACAATTAATTTTGCTGTACTCTGTTAATGTCTCTTGTTAAAGTGTTTTTTTTTTGTTTGTTTTTGTAGTATTGTAAATGTAATTATTTAATGTGATTATCAGTAAACATATTAAAAAAAAAAGAAAAAAAAGTAAAGAAATATTTGGCGCTACGAAACGACCGAAGTCTGCACGACGGATCAGATCGGCACCGCCTCGCAATTCGAAGTGCCTCACACTGCTAATATTCCTTCGTAAGTGGTAAAATTGAATCTACTTAAATCTGCCTTGAAGAGATGCTACAGCTTTGTAAACGTGAATAAAGCTAGTAGAATGCACTTTATGAAGTATTAGCACGATCTGTTTTCCAGCATTCATCATCAGATTATCGAAGGCGATTGACACGTAACCTTTTGTAATTGTTGAGCAGGGCGCAATAAGCTGCGGCGTTGAAACGAGCGGGGAAGAGCGATCTAGCTGTGATGCAAGGGTCTGGATACTACCAAAGAGACAAAACAAGATGGCGGACATTATACTGGACCGTCAGAGAGATTATCCAGCGAAAGCTAACCTTTATCCCGTGGCATTCATTTGCTGCAAGCAATATCGAAGGAAAAAAAAAATATTTCGTACCACGTTCGTTTTCTGTTTTGTTCAATTTCCCCCCCCGCGAACAAATATATGTATTGCATATAGTTCCACCTCCGTAACCTCGGTATTAACATTTAGTGACTTGGTAAGAAAGTGGCATCACAACTCTGATGAAAAAGTCCGTGTTCCATCAGTTTCAGATTCTTTTGCTGCGAAACATTTCAATGATGCACAAGTGCTTTTCAGTAATATATTAGCCTCTCCGTTTTTCTGGCAAAAATTTTGTAACAAATCAATGATGCACGACTGCTAAGAATCTGCTGAAATTTAAAAAGAAGTCTGAACCGCGAACAAACCGATATAATGTGTGTTTACAAATAGACTACTATGAGGTACCTTGCATTTGGATGTAACCATGAGATATTTTATATAAGTTTTACAAAGATATGTGAGGTATTTTCCGTCATGAGAAAATTGAAATTTAGATATGAGCTGGAACTTCACCTACTTACACAATCTAAATGGCTAACACTCATACACTTTTAATAGTCCACTTCGAATTCCCCGCTCCTTTTAAGAAACCGCTGGATTTTCGTCTGGAAGGTGCAGCTTTTGCACCGAAACGAGGCTAACCCTGTATTCTTGTTCGATCGCTGTTCGATCTGTGCTATTGAAGGAGCGATAAGTCGAACAAATAGTGGTAAAAGGACCAAGAGAAAGGCAAACCAGGTAAGACAAGGAAACACTAAAGTCGTGGAAAGGTGTTTGCTGCAGCTGAGTGCAATAGTTTTGAATATAACAGCGATGGACGTGTTTCTGGCTTACAATTCTTTAAATTTCCAACGAGGAAGCGCGTTGGTGCAATTTGATCGAGGGTCAAGATGGAAGAGACGGTTTTCGTGTAAGCGAGAACCCTGTAATATGTGAAAAACATTTAAGAAAACACGAAATATCTAAAGTGAAGGGGGAGTGAGATGTAGATTTAGTAACGGTATAGCTTTTTTGTCATTGTTTATTAGTCTAAATGCTGAATTTATGTCAGTCTTGTCCCATGATTACACCACTATTGACTCGCACTTGATGAAGATCTATTTAAGCTTCTATTACCACTGTTGATTTACGAAAATATTATCATATTGACAAGTTTGTATCGTTTGACGTATAACAAATAAAACAGGCCATTGCTACTCTATTTCTGTGTCTGCGTCCTTTGTTTGTGTTTTATTTGTATCCATTAGTATACAATAAAGGAAGCTGTTTTCCAGCATTCATCATCAGATTATCGAAGCCGACTGCTGACACGCAACCTTTTGTAACTGTTGAGCAAGCAAGGCTTTTGGTTTTTCATTTCCATGCAAATGATTCTGCGTTTCGCACGGGATTAAAAGATTTTAACACATTCTAAATGGCCACAAATTTCACTATTTCAGTGGTTCGCCCCGAAGCTAAAATAGATTCGTTTCGCCAGGAAACAAACAACAATTGTTGGGGAAAATTTAGAGCAAGCCTGAGCAATTCTGAACGCCGAGGCCAGCAATGTGTTAGAATAAGTCGAACTAGAAGAAGACATCACCTCTTTTAGTGTGTCGAATGTGTAAAAAGACGTGATGTCTTCTTCTAATTCGAGTTAGAGCGAGCCGAATACCAATATCATCGAAGGGCTGAGGAAGCCGATGTTTTTAGTTGTGATACGATACCACGAATGTAAACAATTGGTCTATCGGAAGAGTTTGTCGAATTCCAGCAAATAGTTCTTAAAATTGGCAAGAATTCTTTCCTTGGGACAAAAATAAGACTAGCATAAAGAATATAGATGTGACAGTCATTGGTAATAAGCAATGTTTATTTCCAAATGCAATCAGCCTGAACGTTGATAGTGAAAATTTATGTTCAGTTTACGGGAAGTGCGAATTCGCCATTCTCTATTTTCCAATTGCTCATAATACACTCTGTTTGCCCCCCAAAATCTGCATAAACCATTGTTTTTAAATGCTCCTGGGAGTATTGCATTTTCCCAAGAGCATTTTAAGACAATAAGTTATGCAAAATTTGGGGGGAAAACAGAGTGTATTATGGGCAATTGGAAAATAGTCAATTTCTTTTATTATTCACATTGATGCATAACTTACAGTGGTTCTCTACGGCTCGTATTTGTATTACTTTAGATAAGACAACAGAAATATACTACTAACTGAGCAAAGGTTCTAATAAAATCTTCAGTCAGACTTGCGTGATACTCAGCACATACAACGTCACAGTAAGAAATTTTGATGATGAAACACAGAGATAACTGACAACTGACAAACGTTAGCAGTAGCTAACGGTAGCCAGCAGTAGACGCATGCAGTCCTTGACTGCCTATTTTGTTATATTCTTCTACTGCTCGTCTGCGGCAATATAAATAAGGTAACACCATGTCCATCAAACTTTTCTTTTGAAAACATCATCTTCTCTGACACATGACAATCAGATTTCAACAAAATGTCACTCTTACATTAGACTGTCCGTTTTTCTGGGGGAAAATGGTGTGATAAAGTGATGCACGACTGCTGTGTCGGTAATCAGTCAAAGTATTGAGTTTCTATGGTTAAACTACTACATGAAAAATGTCTGCAATTTGATTGGCTTAGAGCAGTGGTATCTCAGCTTAATTTGAAATACCTACATGTGAAAATTACAAACCTTTTGCAGGTAGTAGTATGAACAAATAATAGCAAGATTTGTACGCGATATTTGGCATAAATACCATTCATGATATTTCAAAATTGTCTCAAATTTCACTCGCCTAACTTCTCGTGAAATTGCGTATAACAATTTCGAA